ATTTGGGAAGGCTCAGAACACTTAATTCTTTCTTAATAATTAGCCTCGCCGCTACAGTCTGTTGATACTTTTTCTGTAGGGCTTTTTCAACACTCCTCATGTGACCTTGCTAGTGGCGCTGTGGGTAAGGTTCTCGACTTATACATCATACGCTGGGTGTTTGAATCCAGTTGGAGCCATGGCTTTTTTTTTAACAAACATTTCTTTGAAAAAATAAAATAGCGTTAGTGTTAGGGTTACTTTCAAACTTTAAATCAACAATTGATTTAAGGACGATCTGTCAAAGTGAAATGAAATACAATATTGTTGTTGCTGTTGTTGTTTTTATCCTGTAAAACCTTTTGAGAAGCCACCTTTAAAGGCGCTATATAAAAGCGCTGATTCTTATGGAATATGTTTCTTTCTTCTTTTTTTCAGCATGGAATAAACCTATTACTTGATTCTTATGGATGCCTGGTTCCGCCAGGGATAAAAAAAAAAACCCATGGAATTGCGTATCTAAGGAAAAAGCAGTATAACCTTATTCATGCACAAACAGTGGCATGTTATATTATTAATTTGGGTGTCTCCTCTTGCCAGAAAGCTCTAAATTGCATTTTTTAATTACAAATTACAATTAAATAAAGCTGATACTGTTTAGACTTTTAATTATTTTAAACTGTATTACAGCAGCACAATGCACAATGCAACGTAAATCGCTTTCTTTGTCTTCTGCGTAATAATGTTCACCTCTCTGTCCAGCAAATTAACAGTAGAAATATTAATTAACTTTAATGTATATAGCGCCTTTAAATGTGGCTCCTCAAAGCGCTTTACAGGATAAAAACAATAACAACAATACTGTTAGTCAGGGCAAACGATTTTTTTTTTGAAAGAAATAAAAAATGAGATATAATGATGTGTTCCAGCTTAGACATTAACGAAGAGCAGAACGAAGGTCATAAAGGTCATAAGCAATATTAATTTTGGAACATCATTATGTAAACTGTATGTTGCTGTTATTGGTATTTTAAAGACAAAATACTGTAAAATCCTGGGTTCGGTAAAATGTTTCAGGCATTCATGTGAAGGACAACAAAGTTTTCACTGGCCGATTATCAAACTTTATTGATAAAACAAAAACAAGAACTATCCGACCAAACCAGAAAAAAAGAATCAAGAATAACGGAGACACCGCTAGCCTGCATTCTCTCCTCAACCATCCACACCACACTTCTC